CAGTGTGTACACATGTAAGTGTGAGGTGGAAGTGTGTGTGCATGTGCTGCACGCACAGGGTCCTACCCCTTATCTGTTTCCTTTGGCAACTTTAACAGCGTTAACAGTGAAGGTAATTGAAGATCAGCAAATAAGGAGCTTCCTCATTTCTTTAGGTTTCTCTTATCTCTTTTTATAGGAAATCAGCGGTAAGACCAAGCTAGAACACCTACAGGATAGAGTGCCAAGTATATTTCTCCGTCAGAGGTTATGTGTCACAGTCCCTAAACTAGCTGCCCACAACCTGGTCTTCTCAGTCAGTGCTCACTCCTGCCGTCCTCCACTCGCATCTCCTCTCTTTCTGCAGAACAAATGCTTTCTTCTTCCTTCCCCTGGTAGCATTTGCTAGTGGACTTCACTTCGGTGTTGACTGGTCTCTTCTCCTAAGCAGAGTAGGACTATGAGAGCAGAAACACCCTATACCCTTTTCTGTAGTCTGGGTGCCGTTTTACAGTTCCGGGCTTGTAATTCTAACAGGCGACGTCTTTGGTGAATTCTGAGTTTCTGTGTCATGAAGAAGGACAGGACGCTCAGTGCTCGTGCTTTCCACTGGACTGCCGGCTCTCTGACGTTTCTGGCTTGCTGGTGTCAGGATTCTCCCTCCGTGAATCTGTCCTCACACGGCCACCTCTTTACCAGGACGCCAGGGGCATTGGGTTTGTGGCCCACGCTATTCCAGCAGGGCCTCATCTTCATTACATCTGCCAAGGCTCTGTTTCCAAATACGGTCACATTCTGAGGAGGTTAGGACCTGGGGGAGGGGTTAGGACTGAGGGTTTGCCCTGTGGGAAGGGTAAAAAACAATTCATAACTGAGGTAAATTTTATAAACCAATAAATTAAGCTATAGCAAATATTCAGTAACACCTCAAAGTTTGGTTCTGTCTTCTCATAGTTGAGAAAATCTATTGACAGACTTAGAAAAACCTGAATGAACAGGCCTCAGCTAACCAGGCCCCTCAACTCATGGAAAAAAACTTATTTGCAAGGGGGCCAGGGATTTAGCTCAGTGGTTCTGGTGCCTGCCTCCCAAGTGCAAGGTCCTGAGTTTGATCCCCGGTACCAAAAAAAACACAAACAAACAAAACCTTATTTGCACTAGTCTTTCCAATAGAATGGGCATAACAAGGAGATAATCAAATATCATGGGCATAATTTTTTACTAAATTAGGTAGATACAAAACAAAATTTACAAATATATGTATAGTGAGAAGCATTCTAATACAAAAACATCTGAGCCCTTTAAAAATTATCCTAGAATTTGTAATTTACATAATTTTCTTTTAAAATACATTTTCATTTAAAATATATTCTCAATATATTTATTTTTAATGACAAAATTATTGATACATTCTTGTTCCAAAAACATATATAGTTCAAAATTATAACCAGGCATGGCAGAACATGCCTGTAATCCTACCACAGGGAGGCTGAGGAGAAGGATCGCCATGAGTTCAAGACCAGCCTGGGAGACATAGTAGGTTCAAGGCCAGCCTGAACTACAGAGTGAGAACCTCCCCCCCAAAATAACCCCAAATGAAAAAAAAATATGAAGTATACCCATGTTTATAGCAATACAACTCATAATAGCTAAATATTGGAAATGGCCTAAATGTCCATCAACAGATGAGTGGATAAAGAAAATGTAGTATTTATACACATGGAGTACTACTCTGCTATAAAGAAGGATAAATTTGAGTCATTCATAGAAAAAGGGATGCATCTTGAGACCCTAATTTTAAATGAAATACATCAGACACACAAGCTTTAATATCACATGGTTTCTCTTATATGAGAAACTCAAAATATTAATTAAAGAGAAAAATAAAAGACAGGTAATAGGAAACAGCAAGATAGACATTTCCAAATGAGAAGACCAAGAGATGAAGGGAGTGGGGAGAGAGGGAACGGAAAGGGGAGATAAAAAGACTGTATTTCAAAGATGAGAACACAACATTCCAGCAGGTTTATGCTAAACCCGAGAGGGACCTCTGTGGGCAGAACAGAGATCTCTCAGGGTTTTTCATAGCACTGTTGGTGGCTTTTGAAGGGCTTGGAGCTTGCTGATCTGTGTCCCCTGTAACCTGCTGACGCGTCCTGGGGGACTGCTCATGACCTGCGACTCTCCTCTGTGATCTACTGATATGTCCTCCGTGACCCAAGTAAAATGAAACCTGCATTTCTTTAAGATAGTGGGGTGGGGGGGGCTCATTCGAACTGGCAGTGTCCCTGCCCTGGGTCTATCAGTAATGCCATTTATAAGAGTATCATAAAGAAGAAAAGACAAATAAATTGAATAAAACTATAATAGCTATACACTAAAAACTGAAAAACATTGTTGAAAGAAATTAATTAAAAAGGGGCATCTCGTTCATGTTTTTGGAGACTTAATTACTATTGTTATTCCGCATATTAATCCACAGATTTAACATAACCTCTATCAAAATTCCAGCTGTGGCCAGGCACAGTGGTACAGGGCTATAATCCAGCTATCTGGAAGGCTGAGGTAAAAAGATTGAAAGTTCAAGGTCAGCCTGGAAAACCTGCTGAGATCTTGCCTCCAAATAAAAAATAAAAGGGGTTGGGATGTAGCTCAGAAGTAGAGTGCTCCTGAGTTTGATCCCTAGTACTGCAAGAAGAAAAACCCAACTGCCTTTGTTTTTTTAATCACCAATTGACAAAGTGATCCTAAAATTCACAGGAAATGCAGGGACCTAAAATAATGAAAACAATCTTGAAAAAGAACAAAATTGGAGAACTTACACTTCCCATTTAAACCTTATTTTTTACAAAGCTACATTAATCAAGACAGTGTGATGCAGGCATAGGATAGTCTCATAGATCCCTGGGACAGAATTGAGAATCCAGAAATAAACCATGTACATTGGTCACTGACTTGCACAAGGAAGTCGATGCTATTCAGTGTGGGAAAGGAGAACCTTTTCCTTAAACGGTGCTGGGAGAATTGATGTCCACATACGAAAGAATACGATTTGACACTCACCTCCCATCACATACAAAAATTAATTGAAAATTAATGCAAAATGATCAAAAATCTAAATGTATAAGCTAAAAATATAAAAAATCTTAGAAGAAACATGGGCTAAATCTTTATAACCTTGGGTGAGGCAACAAGAAAAAATGGATAAACTGCATTTCATTAAAATTAACTTTTATCTTTCAAAAGATATCAGGAAAGTGAGAAGACAACCTGCAGAATGAGGTAAAATATTTGTAAATCATATACTGATAAAAGGCTTGTATCCAGAATGTATAAAGAACTCTTAAAACTCGATAATAAAGAGACAACCCAATTAAAAAATAGGCAAAGAATCTAATTAGACATTTCTCCAAAGAAAATAAACAAATGGCCAATAATTACATGAAAAGATGTTCAACATTCATCACAGAAATGCAAATCAAAAGCACGAGATACTACTTCACACACACCAAGATGGCTATCAATAAAAAACAAAATAACAAGTATTGGCAAAAATGTGCAGAAATTAGAACTCTCACACATTGTTAAAAAGAGTGAAAATGAGAGTCCCTTTGCAAAATAGCCTGGGAGTTTCTTAAAATTAAACATAATTCCCACATGAACCACCCCTTCTACCCCTAGATACGTACCAAAGAGAAATGAAAACTTATTTTTGTATACACACACACACACACACACACAGACACAAATACCTGTCACAAGAATGTTGACAGCTGCCTTATTTGTAACAGCCAAAAGGTGGAAACAACCCAAATGTCCATTAAGCGATGGAAAGGTAAATGTGTGGTCTATTAATCTATGGGATATTATTTGGCCATAGAAAGGAATGAAGTACAGTACTGATAGATGGTACACTAATGAATGCTTCAACAATCTTGAAAACATTAAGTGAAAGAATCCAGTCGCAAAAGCCTACATATTGTGTGATTCCTTTTCCACAAAATAGTCAAAGTAGGCAATTCCATCAGGAAAGAAAGTAAACAAGTAGGTCTTAGGGCTGGGGAAATGGGGTGATTGGGGGTGATAATTAAAAGACAGATTCTTTTGGAGGTGATGAAATATTTTAAGATGATTGCTGTAAAACTCTGAATATACTAAAAACCACTGGGCAAAACGCCTTAAAGGAGTGAATTTTATGATATACAAAGCAAATGTCAACAAAATTGTTACAAAAAAGAATAAAGAAATCTTGTATCAGAAGCAGTTTTACCTCCCACTTTAGGAGTTGCTCAATTTCTCTATGATTAGTTTCTCTATAAATAAATGGAGATAGCAATTGTTTTCTACTTCACAAGATAATTGTAAAGATTAAAATAAGAACAATGTCTAGTTAAAAAAAACCCTGTTATGTCATTTATTATACCCTAAGTTTTCCTAGAAGCCACTGAACAAATACAGTACCCATTCCTCCACCTCGTTATTGTAAATGCGATACAAACCCTTCGAAGTTATCTTTTCTTTGGAGAAATTTTAGGTACACTGTGTTCAATACGTTTTGGAAGTTAGGTGCTGTATTTACTTTGGAATTTTTAAGTCGTGTTCACTTTTTCTCCCTAATGACATTTATGGAAATTGAAACTTTCTTGTTTTGGAAGTGAAGGAACATAGTCTTATTAGTAGTATATACTTCTTAGAAATGTACAGAAATTGGGGGGCGCAAATTCAAAACCAAGCCAGCCATATAAATCATGCTACATGGATGGTGACACTTCGGAAAAGATGCTGTAGTGTTTGAAACTTGTGTTTTGTAGGGGACTAAAAATAGCACTGGAACTGAAAATAAACTATTATATTGTAAAATTGGAATACTACTACTTACCTCAAAAGAACACAATAAAACAAATGCCTACATTCAAGCCACGTAAATGTATCTGTAATCTCAAACCTGTTCATTCCTGCCTCAAGTTGGTTTTATAAGTGAACGTCTTTCTTCTAATTTGACCCTCGAGGGTTCCTGTTGTTTCCGTCTCAGCGCGCATGCGCAGAAACCAGCTGTCCTTTCGGCCTCGCTTTGACAATGGCGACTCGTGGTGTGTGGCTGTTGACCCGTTTGCCCCTGTGTTCGCAGACGAGAAGTCCAGTCCAGTGTCCTGCACTCAGGCGTCTCAGTTGTGCGGGGACTGTGGCCGCAGGGCTCAGGAGAGAAGAGCAGCCTTCAGGGAGCGTGGAGACAGGTGACGGCACCGCGTCCCCTTCTGTATTCCCGTCCCACGGCGAGCAGGAAGGGAAGGTCAAGAGTCGGGGCGGCGGGCGAGAGCTGGGCTTGTGGAGGCGGCGTGAAGCCTTTGGAGAGAGGGTGAGGCTGTGTCCCGTCCTCCTGTGATCCTCTTCGGGACCTGGGGCTTCCGTCCTTGCTGAAGCCGGGGCGGGTGCGTCGCGTTTCCTTCTTTGGGGCGACTCCTGTAGACAGCAGTGAAATAGTTTAAGCCTCTGTGGAGTTGAGGCCAGGAACAGTTTGCTAGCGTTTTACAATTTGATAAAGCAGTGTTCTCAATAATAAAAACTTCCTACACCAGTCACTGGCCTCACCTTTCTCTCAAGTATGCGATTTTGATACCTGGGAGAGGTTGACTAAGGCTGAATACTATAGTGAAACCTAATGAATAGCCAGGCTTCCTGACTCTCAGCATTGCCTATGAAATTACTTGATGTTTATCCTTTGCGCAAAATCTGACTAATAACAGATTAGCATCTACTGTTCCGCAGACGTTCTAAATTTATAAGCTTCTTTTTGTATGCGAAATCCACTCTTACTGAACCCCTCTTGTGGCCCAAGGGTTTGTGCATAGTGTTTACAGTTTGTAACAGCCTTGCCAGAAATGTATCATTGTGTCCATTCTACAGATTTAGAAAGAGGCTCAGAAAACGAGGTATCTTGTGCAGGGAGGGTCACACAATATAGATCTTTTTTTTTTCTTTTTTTTTTGGTACCAGGGATCGAACTCAGGTCCTTGTGCTTGCGCTGCAGGCAGCGAAACCACTGAGCTAAATCCCCCGACCCAGTATATATCTTGAGTCAAGCTGCCAAACAAAATATATTGATTTCCGTCATTTCTTGGAGCTATGGTTTTAAGAGATGAAATTATTTCTGGGAACAGTTCTAAAGCGTACTAAACAAGTAAAATATTTTCCCCAAAAGTAGATTACTGTCTTCATCAGACTATATGAAAGACTCGTTGACAGGGAGTGAAAATACAACTTTATGTGACATCTCATTGAAATATTGATTGGATTTTAATAGAAGCTGCTTTTGTTGAAAATTTTTAAATAACCCTGTAAATTTAAGGAAGGATTCGGCCAAAGAAGCTGTTTAACTTAAGGAAATGTTTCATTAAGTGTCATTAACATAATGTTGTATCTGGCATGGCAAAATGGAACTTTAAATGTTAGATTTTTTTTTTTTTTTTTGTACTGGGGATCAAACTCAGGTCCTGGGGCTTGTGCAACAGGCAGTGAAACCGCTGAGCTAAATCCCTGGCCCGAAAGTTAGATTTTTTTCTTTTATAGAAAAGTAGCTTCTCCAAACTTCCTCAGGCTGAGTATAAATGGCTACCCCAACTCAGCCCAGATGAACAGAATGTGAAGTTGGACAAGAGAGGGAGAGATCTGGGTCCATTAAGGGATGAAATAACCCTGGACATGTCTATTGTCTCATTGCATTCCCTTCTCCCACTGTTCCATGCTGTAAAAGACCCTAACACACCTGTGCACTGTGAGATAGTGATTTAAGGCAAGTGGTCCCCTCCATCTCCTCTGAGTTAGTTTTGAATAAATCTGTTTTCCTTTCTACAAAAATAAATGACTTCCTTTGATATGGTCAGCGGGAGCACATGAACCTTAGGTGAACCTAAAGTGGCCAGTAACAGTATAACTAAATTTTCAGGGACTCTGGCAGGGGCATAACAAGTAACAAAAGGAGCATTTGGATTGCTTCACCATTTCTAAAAAAAGAAGATAACTATACTGTATTCTCACTTAGAGGCATATAATGTTATAATTGGAAAGAACTTGAGAAATATCCATATTCAACTTTTTACCCAGTATGGAAACTCATTGCCAGAGCGGTCATATATGTCAATAAGGAACATGTGGTCTCATCATCCAATGTTAAAAAAAAAATCATCCAATGTGATTAGGTTCTAGTGGTTGAAAAATATTTGTAATGAGGTAACATCTACTAAGTTTCCATGTTGGTCTTAGTTTTGACATAGCCTTCCTATAAGTGGTGGAAAGGGCTATAATAGCAAGAGAATAAGAGTGTATCATTCAAGACTCTTGGGTGCCCATGACAAAAGCAAATTCCAATTAGCTTAAATAGGTTAGGGAGGATACACCAACCCATTTAACAAACTCGACTGAATTTGAACATATTGCTCACTGAACTGTCATTGAAAGGATTGCTGTTTTCCTCAGCTATTGTTTGAGGCCTATAATTTCAGTTTCTTCTGCGTGGGTGTATTGATAGTGAGGGTGATGATAGCTAACAAGGCCATATTCACATCCTTGCAGCATTCTCCAGGGGGAATAAAGTTATCTTTTACCTAACTGGAAAATTCCAGGAAAGGTTTTGATTGATTTTATTCCTACTCTTTGGACCAAAAGGATATCCAGAATCATCTGATAATCTTGGCCTAGTTAATGGGGAAAGGGATAAGTGTGATGGTAGGGTAACTATATCAACAGGGCCACCATAACCACAAAGAATGTATGTTCGTGTGTGTGTGTGTGTGTGTGTGTGTTTTAAACAAGCAGGGGGTGTGCCTTTACCAGAACAAGGGTGAGTAGATGCCAGACAACCAAGCAGTAGCTAAACTCTAAATAAGGCTATCCTGTTCCTTACCATGTTTGATTTTGTGCATATTTTCTCCTGTGATGATTCCTGCCCTGTCTTAATAAAGTCACTTGTATGTGACAGTGCTTGAAAAACTGTAAAATGCTGCTCAAAAAGAAGGTTGCTATATTTGAAGACAGCACTCAGCTCTCAGGTTCTCATTAGCCCCTCTAGTTAGTCCCCCAGTGGTATAAATCCTCACTTTATTGTAATTCCCTAACAGTTTCTGGAGTTTTTGTTATCCCTTTCTGAGTGTTCTTTGGCTCAATATTCTTCATATCTATTATATCCAGAACAGAACATGTATTCCATTTGTCCTGACCAGTAATTAGCAAAGAAATGCTATTATCCTGTGAATTTGGATTTTTAAAAGCATTTTTAGTAAAGCCTGAAATCTTATTTATATACTCATATGTGTGTGTGTGTGTGTGTGTGTGTGTGTGTGTGTATGTATTTCCCTATCCTTACCACTATAGTCAAGACATTCCTTTGAGGCATTTTGAGTTTTCATCAAATCAAATTGCTAGAATTCTTTTATAGAACTATTGCTAGGTCCACCTCTCCCCCTGTTACATGCTGTCTTTATTTTAATATGATTTAAAAATGTGTGGAAAGATAAAGGCCAAACTTACTAGTTAGCAGTTATTAGGGTAAGTGATCTGGAGCAGGATTTTTACCTCTATTTTAGAAACTTCTATACTGTTTACTTGTTCAGTAAGTAGTTGGATGTCAGTGTAGCCTCAGTAAAAATCAGACAGAACCTATAGGTGGTGATTACAGCTGAAAAGGTGAGATGCTGCAGACAGAGCCTGTAGCATAAGAAGAGAAGGATGTAGGGATGTAGGAATAGATAGGAAGGAGGACAGGAGTGGACTAAAATCCACTTGGACAAGAGTAGAACAGTCCCTGTGCTCAACATGGAAGAAGATATTCTTCTGTATTGTTAAATGAGTGTGTAACAATGCTATGAATTACATTCCTTCATAGATGCTAAATTAAGGTAACACAGAGGTGGAAGAAATTCTACCATGGAGAATCAGAAGGCTTCACAGACCTGAGCAAAATTTGGAGGAGACATGAGATTTTGCCAGACAGAAAATGAGAAGGTGGGCATTCCAACAGAGGGATGAAGGCAAGAAAGTTTGTAGTGTGTAACAGCTTTGTGTGTGTGGAATGCCACATTTGAAAAGTGCAAAAGGCAGACATTGAAGGGGAAAGGAGGTCGAGATGCCAGCAACTTTTATTCCATGCTATGGACTTGAAAGTTGATCTTTAAGACAATGAAAAAGCCATTAAAGGATTTTAAGCAGAAAAGTCAAAGAATAGGACTTTTTTATAAAGATCACTTTGGCTGCAATGTGGAAAATTGCTTGGGAATGCCAAATCTAGAATGACTAAGAGCAGTTTTGGAGTCTAGGTCTTTTGGTAATATAGTACTGAACACAAGATTGATTAAGAACTGACACTGGAAATGGAGAAGAGAGTACATCCTTAAAAGGGGTATTTTCCGCATTAGTACAGCAGGTGTGAGAAAGATGTTGCTCCATGGTGCATCACTTGTAAGAATGATGATCGGGTCCAGACAAAGTTCCTTCTGTGCCATCGGAGTCCCCTCCGTGCTGACACACACACACAGCTTGCCAGTGTCCAGGGAGGTGTCTTGGTGCTTGCTGAAATTCAGACAGTGTATTTGGGAGATTTCCTTGGCTCATCCGTTTTACAGCCTTAAACATTATGTCCTGCAAACATGTACTAATACAAATAAATACAAAAAGATGAGGCTAAAAGCTTCTGCTAATTTCTGGATATCAGTTAGGTTTTTGATTCTATTTCATTTCTTCAGAATTTTGTTGAGGGATTCTAGACTTTTAATTACTCAACTGGAAGCTAAACATCCTACAGGGGTTGGGAGATGCATTGTTAAGATTCAGAGTGTGGCTTTACTATTTTCTCAGGACTTGAATGATTTTTTTTCTTCCCTGTACTTAGTCCATTCGTTTATCCTCCCTTGTAACCAGTGGATGATTAGTATTCAATTCTTGCCTGTCATAGCTCTTGTTTTCATTTCCGGTGTTTGTAAGACTTCTTACCTCTAGAAAGGTTTTTAAATGAGGAAAAAATGCCCTCTGTTTCCTAGGTAAACTTTTCATGAGCTCTTCTTGGGCTACAGCTAGGTTTTCAATTCTCTAATTTCTCTCCGATACAGAGCACATGAAAGTTGGTAACTTGATGTTAATTGTTTGAGGCAGATCAAGAACCTTGACAGAGAAGAACTTCAGTAACTTCAGAACGTTGGACTTCTGAGGTCATTGTCTTGTTACACACAGGCTTGTAATTTCTTTTAGGCTCTGGGATGTTACAGTTTGCACAGGTTTTGTATAGATGCATTAAGGAAAAGAATAAGTGAGTAGTTTTCCGTCTGAGATTTTGTGGACCTCCACTTTTCAATACTGTGCATTGAGTGTAGCAAATCAAAACAGATGAAGTGGACATTTTCAGTGATAGTCACAGAAGAGTAAACTGAGCTTTGAAATAATGTATCTCAACAATACTTGAAAGGAAAAAATGAGTAGGAAGAAGTTGGGTAGAGTCAGTGTAAAGTCTTTATAAACTTTATCACGGTGAGTTTTATCACAGTGTGTTCAGTTTTGCATGTGTGTATATATGTATGTGGTGAAACTGTGTGTCTCACTCCTAGGCTGTCAGGACAAGACTCCCACGAAGACTTTCTATGAGGAGCAGGACGAAAGGCGAGAACAGGCCCAGCGGACCGTGTTGGTACATTGCCCGAGTAAAATCAGTGAAAAGGAGTTTCTCAAGCATCTATCCCAGCATGGCCCTGTTCATAGTCATTTCTTCTATGAGAGCTTTGTACGTATTTGAAAACAAATTTAAAGTAACTTCCTTTTTGAAGAATAGATATTTTTGTTGTTGTCTTTTGTAATATGGTAAAGTTGGCTTCTCTTGGTATCTGACATTGTTCTAAGATACATTGTATCTTACATTGTTAACTAGATTTCTTTTATGGTTCTCTCTCTCTCCCTCTCTCTCTAATGTAAGTATAGAAATCCCAGCGGGCCGTGGTAATGTATGGCTGTCGGCCCAGCACTCTGGGAGGCTGAGGCAGCCAGATCACAGGTTCAAGTTTGGCTCACTCTGGGGACTTGGTGAAACCCTGTCTCAGAATTAAGGGGGGTTGGGGCTGGATATGTGGCTCAGAGCAGAGGCCCAGGGCTCAGTCTCCAGCATGGCCACCCCAAAACTAACAAAGGAAAAAAGGGAAGAGACAAATCTTCATAGCAGTAGTTTAGAATTAATTTCACTGTTTGAATACTCTGGATCATCTAAAACAATGTCCAAAGGCCAGTGGGATGAGATCTTTGCTTTGCCTTTTAATTTTCTATTTCAACGTTCTTTTCATTTTGGCTTGACTGATGGAAACTTACTCCATTTTGAGCTTCTTATAATGAATAAAATCAGTGCTCATGTTAGAATCATTTGTAAATTTGAAAAATACTTTGTAGCATTATGATAATTTTTGAAGATGTCATGTTAATACTGTGTTAAATATATCATTGTGAAATGTGTTGTCTTTTCGTATGTTATAGGGGCTCTATGCTGTCGTGGAGTTTTGCCAAAAGGACAGTGTAGATTCCCTGCTGAATGTGACTCAGATTCCAGCCATGGGCATGGAGGCAGTGATTCCGTTCAGATCACGTTTCTTAAATTTAAAGCTGAAGAGTCCATCAAGGCCCGTTTCTGAAATGTCACCTATACAGCCAAGCAATCAGTTGCCTCCTTCAAACAGGAAGCTTTCTGAATTACTTTATTCTGCAGAAAGTGTAAGTTTGTGTTATAGTTCAACTTTTAAAGATGTGTATAGCATTTTCTATATTATGAGAGTTCTGACATACATACTCGAGCTCATTATTGTTTAGTGGGCACAGGCTTCAGTCTTATAAGATGGGAAGAATTATTATGGAGATAGAAAGAAAGTGGTGATAGATGCGTGACACTTTGAAGGACAGACACTTTTCTTGTGCTTCCAGCTTGGTGAGAATCACGGTGGATGTTGGGGCTCACGCTCACAGTTGTCTTGACCATCCGATCGTGGGTTATCGTAGTTTTCTCCTGTCTTTTGGTCCAGATTTCCTCATGTCTGGCCATTTGTGCATTCCCAGAATAAACCTTAGTCAAGCTGCAGTTTTAAAAATACATTAGTGTATTTGTTTCGCTAATTTCTTTTGTGGCTTTTATATCTATTAATTAATGGGATTGAGTTTGAAAGCCCAGACTGCAGAGTATATGGAGTGAGGAGTGTGAGTCCCCTCTGCTCCTGTTCCACAGCCCTTGCGAGCGCTCCTCAGTCGTGACCACGACCCTCCCCTTCCAGCGTTCAGCCTCCTTGCACCATTCCGGGTTTCTCTCTTTCCTCAGCATCATGATGCGCAGTTGCCCATGGTACTCTGTAAACCTGTGGTCTTCTTTCTATTTCTTGGCCGACTCTTAGATTTGTCCTGGTTTCTCTTTCTCGGACTCATACTTTTAGCTAGTCTAAGGACCCTTTGAAAGAATCATGAATACTATTTTCTGTTTGATTTTCTAATTTTTAAATGTTTTGCTTCTAACCTTATATAGTATTTCTTTTACCTTTATTTTTTAGGTGAATGCTTAGTTCAGCTCTTTTCGCTGTTGTTTAAAAATGAAAGAAGTTGAAGCTCTGATTTTTTTCCTGTTTAATACTTAGCTTCACTGCACAGTGTCGTAGCCTGATTATTCTAACAGCGTCTTCTAGTGAGTGCCCGTGGTCGTTTCTAGGCAGCAGTGATCGTGGGTCTTCAGCTTGCCTCGGTCATTTCTGAGTTCCTTGCCCATCAGCACTGGCTCCCTCCGAAGCCTGTCTCTGTGGTTGGTCTGCCCTCTGCCAGGACACCTCATTGCTTTCATTGTTCTAAAACAACACTCCATGCTCATTTCCTACCATAAGCAGTAGTTTTAATTCTTGCCAGCTTTTCCTTGTGGCACTTCTCAGTGCTTTTTAAAGGACATTTAAAAAAAATCCTTTTAAGACTGAAAGGGAAAACACCTATTTTAAAGACAGATGTCCAAAGGCGTCAGATCTAAAATACATTACTCCGCATGACCGCCTTTGTTTGTATCTTGCCACCTTTATTTTGCCCAGCTAGGTAGATGATCAGCTGAGCACACTCCTGAAGGAATTACAGCTGACAGAGGAGAACACCAGGCTCCGGTACCTCATCTGCTCTCTTATTGAAGACATAGCGACTGCCTATTTTCCAGGCTGCACCATCAGACCCTTCGGCTCTTCAGTGAACACTTTTGGGAAGTTGGGATGTGACCTGGACATGTTTATAGATCTCCATGAAACTAGGAAACTCAGAACACACAAGGTAATATGTTTCTGATATAATGTATCACTTAAAGAAATTAGAAAGGCAGTCTCTGAACTTAGTACAATTGTAACTGTTGATTTCTAAGCTTGGTATACATTGTGTTTAAATAATAAGATTTATTTTCTACTTTCAGTGCTTTTTACTCTTGCTTTTAAAATTTTACTACCAGGGATTGAGCCCAGGCCCTCACACTGAGCTGCATCCCCAACCTTTTTAATGTTTTATCCTGAGACGGGGCCTTGCTAAGTTGCCCGGGCTGGGCCTGAACTTGTGGTCCTCCTGCCTCAGCCTCCTAGAGTGCTGGGATCGTAGGTGTGCACCACTATGCCTGGCCTCTATCCTTTTTTTCTTCTTTTGCTTTTTATTCATTTCCTTTCTTCCTTTTATTGGATTACTTCACTGTTTTCTTGCCTTTTTTTCAACCAGTCATGCTCAAAGTACTATTACATAATCAATATAAAATACAAATGTAGAGACATTTTGCATTCCGTTTTACTATTCAAAATTGTTGTGCATTTTACACTTCCAGCACATTTCAGTTCAGCCTGGTCACATTTCAGGTGCTCAGACCCACAAGTGGCCACCATTTCAGATCCCATGCACCACACTGAAGGTCTTTAACCTGGCTAACAGGCGGTGTTGTTTTAACCTTTTAATCCTCTTGAACAGCACACAGAAGATGTCATATATGCGTGCTGAAGTTAATAGACGAGTACAAGAAGAGGTTTTGACTCGAGTCATGGAAAACATGCAAGCCCAGGGCAAAGTGCAGATTGGCCATGATGCTGAACAGGCCTACCTTTCCTTTACGGTTCCCAAGCTTAGGTCATGCCCTGTAGTCGTGAAAGCCATGTTCCTGCACTTCATAGTCATCACAGTGGTTTTGGAAAGAAGAGTCATGCTGTGCGAGGCAAAAGAAGTCCGGACTCCATAATACCTGGTAGCACAGAGTGCAGTGGGACGCGGCTCTGCCATGGAAGAGAAGGAGCTCCCCCTTCTGCATACACTGACCGAGCCAAGGAGCTGAGTTCTGGTGCCACGAGCACCCTTCAGGAGAGCCCAGTTTGGCGGGAAGGTCTGGGCCTTGGGCAGGGAGTGCATGGGAGCTCAGGGTGCAGGGCTGGCAGGAGCTGTGAATATTGCCCCACCCCGGTCTTGGGGCCCAGGGCTTGGGCCTGGCCTGTCAGGCCCCTCCCTTCCTAGAAGCCCTACTCATCTCAGCAGCAGCCCCGCCCTGAGGTGCTCTGTGGCTTTGGAACTTCTCTTTCTCCTTCAGCCCCACCCCCAGCTTCTCTGCTTCCTGTTCCCAGCAGGCCCAGAAGGAGGCGGCAGCGGCCTCTACTCTGCAAGTGATGAGAAAGCCACATCCTAGGCAGCCCTTGCAACCTGTGACAGGGCGCTAGCTGTAGAAATACCCTTGGCCCTGGGCTGCAGCAGATGCTCCCCAGCCCCAGCTGTGTCTGTCTGGCTGAACTGTGTTGTGTCCAAAGCACCAGTGCTCTCAGCACAGCAGCTCTCAAGTGCCCGTCTGGCCTGTGGCCCACTGTCACCGAAGCTATGAAAGGACCGTAGAGGGTTGGGCATTGACAGCAACCCAGGAAGCCTGGCCAAAGCCAAGGCCAAGGCCATGGTTCGCTGTAGAGGGGCAGGCGTGGGATAGCCCACCCAAGGCCAGAAGGGCTCTGCAGAATAGTGGGTGCACAGCCGCGCTCGATGTCATCCCTGCGCACAGTTCCCAGGTCTCCAGTCTCCTGTGTGATTCCATTACTCACATCTGTTTTTGCCTAGTGCCTTTCTCACTTCTGTTACCTCTAAGACTTTATTCTTCTCGTTTATAGTGCCTCGTTTTCGGTAAACCTCACTGTCACCTTTGCTGTGAGTCTTGCCCTTCCTCTGCTTCTGAGTCCACACTTAGTCCTCCACCATCTAGTCTGACTTTCTCCCACATATGCTGTTTGCCATCCTGGGATGACCTCACATCTTTTTCTTGTCCTGTCCTGTTTAATTTCAATGAAAGATGTTTCTTTCTTTTTTTTCTGTTATGGAGATTCAGACTTTGTTGGTTGTTGGTCTTTTTGGGGTTCCTGCTTTCCAGATAAGTTTATGTAGGTTTGCATTTTAAAACACAGTGGACTAGAGGGCCGGGTATTTAGCTCAGTGGTTCCGCCGCCTGCCTCAAAAGTGCAAGGACCAGAGTTCCATCCCCAGTACAAAAAAAACCAAACAAAAAAACAATGGACTAGAGAAATAGAAAAGTCATAAAGAATGTTAGTCCCAAACTAAGCCAGAGTTTTGAAATGTCATTGTCTTTAAGGAAAATTTATTTATTTTTTATTTCTTTTAATATAAAAATGTCCTGGTACCTAGAAATCTGTGTAGATGACAGAAATTAGTAGAGAAGATATGACATTTTTATTTGTGGGGCTTCCATACGTGTGATATCTATATACTTTATTTTTTTCTGATTCTAAAATAATATATATATTGAATTGCAAAGCCATCTCCAGAGCACTACTATGAACAGTTTAATGATTTTATCATGGATTTTTCTTCTTGTATATATAAATATTTTTCTAAACAAAATTAATCATTATGGATTATAACTTAATCTACAAATTATAACTTGATTTTTCCCATCAGTGGCATCTTGGCAGTTTAATCTACTGCAATCAGTTTAATCTATCCTCTTTGGTGGCCTCTGAATGTGCCCTCGAGTGAGTGTGTCATAATTCAGCCAGTCTTCTGTTTGTTAAATAGATTTTATCTTTTTCTATCTCTGTATGGCCAACTATATTAGTTGATAGTCTTTGTTTGTACACAAAAGAAAACAACTCAGATTAGGCAAAACAGAAGAAGCACCCTAAAACTTCAGTCAGGAATGTGGGTGAATATTGGGAAAAAACAGGAAGCAAGAGGTACAAACTGCCAAGAACCCAGGAAGTGTCTGTTGCTCTGTGTTTGTTTGCTTCATTTGTCTCATTTTTCTACCTTTCCCATGCCTGTCTCCTCTCTACTGTTTTCTCCCCCATCTTGAGTATAGATAGCTGTGCCTGCCCCAAAGCTTCTGGGTCACTTATTTCAGCTGCATGGCTGCCAGCTCCCAGTAGAGATCTCTGGTTCAATGTACTGTATATTCCTGCCTCGCTTAGATCAGCTGTCCATGCCTGGGTCACTCAGCAGGGAGGAATGGACCTAGATTTCCAGGAAACGCTTTGGAGTTGGAGGCTTAACTGCTCCTCCAAAGGGGTGAGTTCTAGGGGAGGGAGTGGCTGAGGGTAGGGAAGCTTACAAAGCCGAGGGGAGCTGGCAGAATCTGCCTCCCACATGAAGAGTGCTACAGTGAATGAGCATCTTTGTAAATTAGCTCCTTTATGCAAATATCCATTTGAAATAGTTTCCCAGCACTTAATAAAGTTGACATTTAAAGTCTCAGTATATAAGTTCTACAAGAAGTGTATCCTAGTTTACAGTCCACTAACAGTATATGCATTTCCCTTACACATTATTGCTGATGAGAGTCTGCTTGTCTTGGTCAGACTTGTTAGTAAAACGTCACACTTGGGCATGATTGTACAGAGTTGTAATTCCAGCTATTCAAGAGGCACAGGCAGGAGGATCGCAAATTCAAGTCCCATCTGGGCAACTTAGTGAGAACCTGTCTCAAAGTAAAAAAAATTTAAAAAGGGACAGGGATGTAACTTAGTGCAAAAGTTCTGGATTCAGTCCCTGGTACAGGGGGGAAAATTGCGTTGATGTTTTAATTTCTTCGTTAGATTCCAGAAAAGATGAGCATCTTTTACTGAATTTGACGGCTGTTTATATTTCTAGTGTAGTTTCTTTTTCAGGTTATTTATTTGTTTGGCCCAGTTTAAGGATTTGGTGAGGCCCCCCTTTCATTTGTATATTCAGCCCTTTGATGAATGTGTTAATGTTTTGCTCTTTCTAATCGAGTAGAAAGTGGACAGTTTCCATGTGACCATAACACTTTTTGGGTCTTCCGTAGTTTCGTGTCAAGCTTTGCGCACCCTTCCCTATTTTTATATTACAGAAACATTCACCTGTTGTCTTCTGATATTTTACCAATGCACTTTTTACATTTCTCTTTGGTCTGTGATGAATTTACTTCAATTTTAGGACAAACTAGGCATCAAGTTTTTTTAATAGCCATTGGACTCATTTGTTGAACTGGAATATTTCCCTAGTAATTTGCAATATTTTAAATTTCTGTAAATGATGAAATCTATGTGTTCTGTGTGTGTCACCCTAGCTCTTGTGCCTGCCCTCTCCTGTTGCTGTAATGTTGCCAAAATGCGTCTGCTGGGTTAATAGAGTAAGGGGTGTGAGCTGTAGCATTTAGGATGCATACGCTACTGTGGGATGTGAGTTAATTATAAAAAGTCAGGAATTTTAACATAGCCCTGTATATTCTAGAGAAACCAAATGAACCCGGAATCTTTTAACGTGTTCCTACCAGCCTGAACCACGCTGGTACGTGCATGACTGTCCTGTCGGGTCATGCATGTACCACCACCAGCAGAGATAGGAATTGCAGTCTGCTTTTGAGTGAGATTGTATGAAGAATATTTATTTTGTGGTTTCTGTGTTTGTTTTATAAGAAATGCAGTGCGTCCTTTCAGAGAAGTTTATTAAGAATTCCTTTTTTAAAAAAACGCTTCTATTAACAAATATTTTTATTATTCAGAGAATAGGAAATTTTTTGATGGAATTTCAAGTGAAAAATGTTCCTTCAGAAAGAATTGCAACTCAGAAGATCCTGACTGTGATAGGAGAGTCCCTTGACCACTTTGGACCTGGCTGTGTGGGTATCCAGAAAATTCTCAATGCCCGGTGTCCACTCGTGAGGTTCTCCCACCAGGCCTCTGGATTTCAGTGTGACTTGACCACTAACAATAGGTATGGACACTTAAGTTTATCATCTTAAATGAGAGTATTTTAAGGTATCAGCTTGGTTTTCCTCATCCAGATACAATGTCTTTGGATTTTTAGAAATGCCTCAATAATAATTTTTTTTAACATGTGAATACTTAGATTGAAAAGTAGGAAATTCTATTTCTTTCATTACACTTACTGATAATTTGGTGTTCCTGACAAAGTATTGTGTTAAGTGTTAAACACACCTAACAGTGAAGTATGTTCTTATGTACATAGCCTGAGAGTGTGGAAATTACCTGTTTATAGTGTAAGTCTTCTGAGTATTTTTAGAGAATAAAGTAGCAACTTGAATTTGACCTCTGAACTACCTTCAGGTATAGTCAGCTTTGTGTACTAAATGATGTGGTATTTGCTTAGGTCAGAAAGTGGTCTAAACAGCTTAAGACTGGACAGTTTTTTCTTCAGGATATTTACATGGCATTACTCTAGCAGCTTGTTTGCTTAAAATAAGTGGAGGAGGAATGACAATTTATTTTTATACTCTGAATACCTTTTGTAGATTCACAATAGATTCATTTCTCAATTGAGGAGTTTATTTCTCAACTCTGGTATTCATTCACACCTGAGTTTGAGTTCACAATATTATTGTCTGTTAGATAAATAGTCATGACTAAATATAGATTCAGAAATTAAAGTAGGGCAGTTTCGATTAAACCCAAGTGTTTGTCGACAAGCTAATGCTAACTTAGTTCTGAATTTTTCAGTAGCCCATGGAGAGTAGTCTTTGTGATTTCTTGCCAATTTTAATATAGAATAGCATATAATGTACTTTCTGTCATTACATTTTCTGTATAGTATATAAAGTAGTACAGTATAATGTTATTTTTGTAATAATGTTATTTTATCTTCCTGAGACAGGTTTTTAAGAATTTGTTTTAACATACTGTCTTCAGATTTTTATGAGATTGCGATGTTTGTATCATACATTACACTGTGATATTTTTCAGCTTAATTTAGTTTCATTTACATGTATAACACAATCGTCATGAAGTCCTCATTTCCTATTTTTTCTGTTCTCTTTAAACTAGGATGTAAATGCCGTAGTAGTACTTCCATGACATTTAAGTAGACCATTATAGGGCTGGGGATGTAGCTCAGCGGCGCAGCACCTGCCCAGCAAGCTCCAGGCTCTGGGTTTGATTCTCGGTACAAAAAAAGAAAAGTGGAAAAAGACCCAAAAAAAAGTAGGCTATTGTAAATTTAAATGACTTAAATAATTTTTATGCCCTCTGTTGGTTCTTGCAGAAATTACAAGACACATTTTGATCTGTAAGAACTTAATTTAAAAATATTTCTGATTAATCTTTGAATTTGTGTTTTGACTAGGAAACTTGGTTGTTTCCGAAGTTTAATTAGTTACTGTAATAACTAACTAACTAAAGATGGGGCCTTGCTGCATTGCCCAGGCTGGTCCACCAGGGCCGCTGGGACTATGGCATGTGCCACCATGCCCCAGCTCTGAAGTTTCTTTTCCTAATGGGCACTTATCTTCAGACACTTTGTATTTTTATAAATATTAGGCTTATGTAATTTTGGCTGTTTCACAAACTACAAGAATTGTAAGACCAAATGCTTTTACTGATAAAATAAATAGAATTTTTTTCTCTTGTTTAAGCTACCTTGTTTCCTAAAAGAAAAGGTGTGAAACTTCGGAGCAGAGACATTTATCCATGCCTCTGTGTCTGGTGATCTCAAATGAATGCTTTATTGGACCCTTGGATCATAGCTTGGAGTTTGAAAATTCTTTTTTGTGTTTTCTTTTCAAGGGTTGCCTTAAAAAGCTCTGAGCTCCTTTACATCTATGGTTCCATGGACTCAAGAGTAAGAGCCTTGGTGTTCAGCATCCGCTGCTGGGCTCGAGCACATTCTTTAACGAGTAATATTCCTGGTTCTTGGATCACGAATTTCTCCCTTACAATGATGGTCATCTTTTTTCTTCAGAGAAGGTCACCACCCATCCTTCCAACTCTAGATACCCTAAAAGCCTTGGCAGGTAAGACTAACAGCAGTCTTCTCTGTATTCCCTTTTGGCATGATGTGTTCCCAAAGCCATCTATATTTATTAGTCATGTAATCTGTTGTCTTGATTTTTAAATCTAAAGAGAAATTAAATCATTTCAAGTATGAATCTAAAATTTCAGTTCAGTGGGTTTTTTTGGTACCAGGGATTGAACTCGGGTCCTTGTGCTTGCGAGGCAGGCGGTGGAACCACTGAGCTAAATCCCTGGCCCTCAGTTCAGTGCTTTTTATTTTTTCTAATGTCCACCAGGGATTGTGAGAGCAGGTGATTTATAAAACTGAGCCATCAGAATTCTTTGAAAATCCCATTAGCTTTAGCAGGCATTGCCAAATAGTATTCGAAGTGTGAGCTCCTGTGAATACTGTACACAAGCTCCAGTTTGTCTCTTCACCGACTCCTGATGCAGTTGTCTTTTATGTGAGCTTTGCTCAGTGCTTGCATAATGTCATCATTACTTTGCTTTTAATTTTCTTTTTCTAGTGCCTCATGAAATTCAGCACCTTTCCATATATCTGTTAGCCATTTGAGTATTTCCTGTGAAGTGTCTGTAAGTCTTTTCCCAATTTTTCCTTCAGGGTATTTTTTTCTTATTTGTTTGAATGCGTCCTTTGCCTGTATATATGTATTTCTTTGAGTGTATGTCTCAGGTATATGCATACTGTGTTTGACTTCCCTCTCTTAATAGTGTTAACAGTCTTAACAGTGGTGAAGAGAACTTTTTTTTAAGTTTCACTTGAATCAGTTTTAGGCACCTACAGTTAAAGAGTAAAATAGTCCGCAGGCTTTGTAACCGTAATTCACTGTCTGACCTGTGTATTGTATCCCCTTTGCCTCTCCCCAGGGGCAGTTAACTACTTCTTAATTCTTTTAGCTGATTTGTATATTTTGATACTCTATTTTTAAAATTACTGGAATTACTGTTTCTTAATTTTTTGGGTATAGACATCTAGACGTCCCTTTATGGGAGAGGAGAGCTAACTCTTTTCCTGCACCAACCTCTCGTGTTTTCAGTGAAGCTCTAACGTAGTCATGGTGTGCTCTCTTTGTGTCATTGTGAGTGTGTAAAAGCTGTTCTCACATGACCCATGGAGTAAGCCAAAATTAATTTTCTTTTCTGCCAAGCTTTTTAATTTTTTGGAGCTAATGTTTTTCAGTATTACTTGGGTTGTGGTTTTTTTCCATTTGTTTGCCTTGTTGTTTATATACAAACGTTAATTGAATTGCGGAGTGGCTGCCAGCTGTGGGAAGACTGGTGGCAGAGGCTTTCCTCAGACGTGGGAGAAGCTAAGCCTGTATCCCCCAGCACCAGCACCCTTCCGATGCTAAACTGCCTGTGTTAGTTAGGAGAGCAGAGCCCAATGCGACTTCTGCCCTACCGTGACGGCTCACCTGTGGCAGCCTACAAGTTTAGGCCTGTTCAGCATCGTAACCGATGCTGAGTATGGCTGTTCATATAGTTTGTAGCTATTCAGGGTTAGCTCCCAGTAAACTTCCTGTAGAAGTAGGCCATTATAAGGGAACTTTTATAAGAGACAAAGATACGAAGTCTTCATCTGACCTTGGTGTCTGTCTGACCTTCATTGATATGCCTGACACCTTCCGGTTTATTAGGAATGCCTGTGTCTGGCATAATGTTGCTTTTTGCTCCTTGGACCAGAAAAATTAACCTAAATGATTATAGAACTAATAGATGAGATGATACTGTTTCCTCTCGTAATCTGTTAACACAGTTATTCTCAGTAGGGATCTCTGTGACAAACTATGAATGACTGTGGTACGATACTGTTTCCTAAAAAATGTGGGTTAGTGTATCAGTCTGGATGTCTGAGAATGGTATTCCGTGACTTTTATTCATGATTCACTGAATCAAGTTGAAAAACTGATCGCTATACCAATCCACAGGGATCTAAAGATTCCAAAGAAAGCATGGGAGTTAGATTTAATAAATGCATAGCCTTCATTTTTGTGTAGTTTTTAAGTTCACTTACGGTGATGGAAGGTTTCTATTACGAGTTAATTTAGGTGCTTCATGTCTGTTTCCCTCACAACTGTGAGTTTGTATTTCCTTATAAATTTTTTGACAGTGCTTCCTATTGAGGAGTCAGTGTCAGCAGGTTAACCAGCGGTGAAGGGGTGCAGGCTGAGGGTCCCCTTCCCAAGGCAGACTGCCCAACGGGACTTGCTGTGGCAGTGAGCATGTGCTATACCTGTGCTGCCCAGGCCTGTGGGCAGGCGCCACCTGGAGCTGGTGGGCACTTGAGTATGATTAGTGTGACTGAGGAACTGAAACTTGAAGTCACAGGTGGCCAGTGACTGTTGTGTTGGACTGTGTAGATGCTGTTGAAGTAATAATTACAGTAGAAAAGAGAAGAGTGGGAAGACCTGGGAACCAAGTTGTTTCTTAGGCTTGCATGCCTCAGGGGTTTTGAAAAGCAAAAGTGATCCTGTCTTAACTCAGAAGATAATTCTTTTTCCCTTCAGTTTCAATACTTTATGTTGAAAATTCATTTAGTAAGAAAGCAACACTCATAATGACAGCCTCAGTTTTTTGTCAGTGTATTCCTAGAACTATTTTAGAGTGCATCTCATTTTTCTGTTAGTAATGCTTTAATGGGAGGTACATGCCTGAAAACAGACACAACTGCCAGGAGACCAGCAACGTACATGGCTAGGGCTGTGTCACAGCAAATGTCAGCTGACACCCACTTTCGATATGAAACACATCCCCAGATCCCATGAAAGCAATCTAAGATATTGCTGGGAATATAGTGATTAAAAAAAAGCAGGCTGTCTCTATGAGTGTTACTTTTTACTAAAGGGGTTTTTAGGAAAATATTGAAATTGAAGGCAAAAAACATTATCTTCAGTTTAAGACAGGATCATTTTTGTTCCTCAAAACAGTTCTTCAGTATACTGTAAGTCATATAGTAGAGCATATAAAATGTCCTGTTAAAATTATGTTCAAATCTAGAATAATTTTTGAGAAATCATGTCAGTAACATTGGTCTTAATGAAAAGTAACAAAAATCACAAAGGAGAGGGACAGAAGTTTGAAAGAACTTGTGATCTTGTAGGCACTCAGAATCGAGTATCGGCGGTCATTCAGATTATTGACTGTGTGCCTGCTGTATGCCAGGTAGCTCTGCTGTGGGCCAGACGGGAGGAGGAGGGCGGAGACCTTTCAGTCCCAGACGAGGGGAGTCGGCAGCACGTGCAGAATCCAGCGCAGAGGGGCGGCGGGACAGGACGGGCATGTGGCCTGGAGCTGCACAGGGCTTTCCCATGGGAGGAGCCCTTGCTGGATCTTTGGAGTGGGAGTTTTTCCACTCAGCAGCATGTTAGGTATTGTACAGTAGAAGAGGCGTTAGAGTGGGTGCAGGATTTCATAGTGCTGTATGTCAATAATTAGGAAAATGATGACCTCTGAATATATAAATAGTATTTAAAAGTTGATTGCATAACTGTAATGCGTTGTTACTGAGTTGATTTTACTGAATTAGCTGGATTTCAATTATTCTAAAGTGCTACATTTTAGAAATTGCCTGAGGTTTTTAAATACTGTTAGAACATTCAGTTTGTGTCATATTCGGGGCATTGAATAAAAGCACAAAAAGGTGGTAAGAATGGAAATAAAGCCTAAATACTGATTAGAAACTCCTTACTTCTCATTGGTTAATACAAAGCTGATTTGCTGCAGAATCATTGGGTTGTTAAAGAACATAATTCTGGTATGGTAAGGAAAATGTAATGTGAATTTTACTCTAGTATGGTTAGTCTCAAATCTTTTTAAAATTGAGTTGTAGATTTATTTTAACTACATATAACAGTTATAGGACATATTCAGAGATAATGGATTATTTAAATCACAGATTTCTTTTTTGAAGTAGGAAATATAATGTGAAATATTGTTCATTTCTATTTAAGATACAGAAGATAAATGCATAATAGAAGGCAATAATTGTACATTTACTCGTGATTTGAATAAAATTAAACCTTCAGAAAACACAGAAACATTAGGTAGGTGTTTCTCTTTTTCTTTCATTTCCTTTCAGAGTCAAATAAACTTTTCTCTTATATTCCTTATTTTATTTTCTTGCAGAATTACTATTGAAGGAATTTTTTGAATATTTTGGCAATTTTGCTTTCAACAAGAATTCCATAAATATCCGACAGGTAAATGTCTTGGTATGTGGTTAGAAGGTATTTTGTCTTCTTCCGAACTGATATTTCTAATCCGTTAGTTTTCAGAGGCCTCTAATGAGCTTTATTTCACTGCCACTCCACAGTACTGTATGGTAATAAGGCAGTTGGTGCACAGAGGAGTGCCTCACCTGGCTGAGTTAGAGTCACCGAGTTAGAGTAGAAGGAAGCTCTGTTAGCATCTGCTGTGTCCCAGTGCCACGCACTCAGGGTGTCACTCGGTGCTCACTAACGCTGTGTTCTCTCAGGTGTACAGTAATATCCTGGGAAGCTTTCTGGAGAGCGTAACTTGACAGTTGTTTCTAAGCTGGATTTGTGTTGGAATGGAATAAGTGTGGTAGAGTCCTAAGGTTCGATTTAAGGTTAGAGCTTGATTGCTGTAAAGCTGTAGAGCATGTGCGGCTGTGGTTTGGTTCTGCTCAGTACGTTTGTTCAGATGCAAGGTGAGGCTCAGTCCGGGCCGCACGCTGGGCAGAACACGCCTGCACCAGGGGTGCTTGTGATGGCTCTCTGCTCCATTCTGCTCTGTGCTGCTCAGCCTTTGGGTCTTGCTTACGAACCTTGTGAGGCTGGTTTCATAAGACAGAGGCCCAGATACTCTTTTTGGTGCATTTTCGGTTCTCCTTCCTGCTGTTGGAGGTTAAGGTGTGGGATGGGAGAGGAAAGAATGTAATCTCAAGGGGAAAGGTCTCCAAGCATACAGAGATCTTTGTTCCTTTTTGGGGGGATGAGGATTAAACCCGGGGTCTTCACACTGAGCTCCTTACCCAGACCTTTTTTAAAGTTTTCATTTTGAGACAGGATCTCTTAAGTTGCCCAGGCTGGGCTCAGACTTGGCGATCCTCCTACCTCAGCCTCCCAGAGTGCCGGGATTACAGGTCTGTGCCATGACACCCGGCTTTGGGTTCTCGGAGTTCCGAGGTGATAGGGAGGCAGGAGGCCTGCTGAGCAGTGGGGGTGGAAGTTGGAGAAGAAGCCAGTGTGCCCAGAGTGCTTCTCAAATATCCAGGTGACATTTCCATGTCATTTGAAGGGGGGCGAGGTGCATGAGTTTCCTGCCGTTCCTCTGACTCCCAGCTTTTGCTTCTGTGAGGTGTTGATGATGATTTTGTGGAAGTGCCTTTCTGTTGGAGACTTTAGGGTTTTAATCCTCGTGTTCTTCTTTTCTCATTTCTTCTTGGGGAATGGTAATTGTTACGTATATTTAAGAATTCTAATTTGGTGTGTTTCTGTTCCCACTGTTATAGATATGCTTTTATCAGCTCTCAAAAACAAATGCTTCTTTATCTTATTTTCTGCCATTTATCTTTTTCCCCTTTTCGGCTCTAGCTTGTTAGGTAAAAGTTAATGTTATTTAAAAACTGTTGTCATTGTTGACTCAGCCCAGGTATCTGCCCTCTTACCTGTGACATCGTCATCCATAGATCATAAAACTGTGAAGTTTTCCCCAAAGAACAATCATAAAAGTCCACTGGGACAAAGACAGAAGTACACACAGACACACTCACTGACATGCTTACGCAGCCAGCTCCCCCGGGGAGAGATTCTTTACTCTGTGAAGTTAGTGCTGCTACTTTACATGTGTTTGACATTTAAGCCCTTCCTGTATTTATAGATTCTTTTCTCTTCTGTGTCATAACCTGTAGGGACGGGAACAAAACAAACCTGATTCTTCTCCTCTGCACATTGAGAATCCTTTTGAAACTTCTCTCAACATAAGCAAAAATGTAAATCAAAGCCAGCTACAAAGATTTGTGGAGTTGGCCAGAGAAAGCGCCTGGGTTTTACACCAGGAAGATGCATATCTCCCTTCCTCATCCAGCAAGCCGCCCTGGGGGCTGGCTGCCCTCCTGCTGCCCTCAGTAATGCAGAGTACAAAAAAACAGAAGAAGCGTTGTGGGAGTGAAAGAATTAAAAGCCTGTTAGAGTCCATGAAAAGCGGCAGTCCAGAAAGTTCTGCAAACACCAGTAGGAACTGAACAGTTGGTACTCAGACATAATGGTTGCTGTTTTGTGTTCAGAACTGGTTTTGTCCTGTGACCCGGCCTGTGGAGGGCCTAGAACTGGTGTCCCCAAGTTCTGCAGACCTCCCGTATCATCTGATGTCACTTTGTGCGAATTTTTCATTGGCCCTAACCCTGACCTGAAGTTCTGGAACATTTTCAGTCTGACCAGTCTGACACATGGGTGGCATTTTATTAAACAGAAGTCACAGGAATGGAGGAATGTAGATTGAAATGTCCTTTAAATGAGCTACACAAAGTGAGTGGTAAAAGTCAATTTTAGAATCAAACCATTGTTGATATCCACATCATTCCCAGGTTGGGAAACATTTAAAAGGACTTCTAGTTACGTACATATGAAGATAAATACAATAAAACTTCAAAATTTGGTAGTACTCTTATAGTATGTGTTTTTCTGTTTTTCAAGCAGTTTTCTTTTTTTTTAAGCAAAGTTTTCTTAATCACATATAAATTAAAACAGGTTGGTACTGATACCCAAAAATATTTTAAAAATATATAAATGCAGATACTTTAATACTACATTCTAAGTGTTCTAAATTAAATATGTAAAAATACTGATACATTGTTTCTAAAATACCAGTTTTCCTATTTTTGAGAAATCATGTTTCTACTAAAGTGTAATACACTGTTCCCAATATCCCTTCACTTCTTTTTTTTTTTTGATATCGGGGATCAAACTCAGGACCTTGCGCTTGCGCAGCAGGCGGCGGCACCACTGAGCTAAATCCCCTAAACCCCTTCACTTCTTTTGAGAATTCTCTTCCTACTGTAGGAACTGGCAGGGAGGAAGGAAGGAAAGGTGAGGAGAGGAGAGAGAAAGCTGTAACTTTCAGTTTAAGAAGCAAATAATATCATTCCAGGCCCCAAATGCTTTGCTTTACAGCCCTGATAATAGTGCCCACTTCACTAGATAACTGTGAATGCGAGGTGCACAAGGTTAGGTAGGCCCCATGTTAAATGTGCCTTAACCTGAAATGCTTAGAAACAGTGTACCAGACATTTCTGGCTTCTTCCAATATATGCTTGTACCTGGTAAATTATCTTGAGGATAGGACCCAAGTCTAAACATAAAGTTAACTGATGGTTTGCAAGTGCCTTATACATACCCTAGTAATTTTTTACAATGTATATAATAACATGGTTTATGAAACAAAGTTTTGGTGCAGAATTTTCCACTTATGGGACCGTGCTGGCATTTGAATTGGGATAGCCAACCCTATTTCTCTTTAGTTTTGACTTTCAAGTATTTGTTGTATGTAATTATTTTTCTCACTACCCAAAATTCAGATTTAAAGTTTGTAGTGGTTTTAAGAAATTTTGCACTTAAATGTTAAGTCAGAAATTATAGTGAACCCTGCTTGAGTGTTTTGAGGCCCTCAGCAATAGACCTGCTACGAAGCAAGTAAGTTCTGTCTCCACATGGCTGTGCTGTTGGGTCTTGCAACTGAATCCAAACAAGTATCAGTGTTCTCTAATACAGGCAGTATCCTGAAACTGAAATGCGTTCTTCATTTGTTCTTTAATTAAGTTTATTTTAGGGGGCTAGAAATCAGTACTGATTTAAAACGTTTATAGTTAAGTGTTTCTCAGTGATGATTTTTCTTTCTATTTGTAGATGTTTGATCAGACATTTTCTTTTCTAGCTTGGCGTTAAATCTAGACGGATTACTTAAATAAAATATGTGTATGTATCAGCATTTTCTTTTTTATAATTTATAGGAAAAGCCTGACACTATAGGTCTGTTTTACTTTTCAGAACGAAATTCAATTATGTGATGAACTTTAATCTTGAAACATTTTTAATATACCCTTTTAAATTCTATTTAACAATATAGACTTCAGACAAATATATTTTCCTATAATTTCAGTGTATCACATCCCAAATTTTTAGTGCAATTTTTGTATCACAAGGATAAATCTGCATATATTTGCCATTACTATTAATTAAAACTAATTACAATAAAAATTTTCAAGGTTTTTCTTCTCTAGCTATATCTAGGCTTTAACAGTAGCTGTCGCCTATAATGAGTTTTATTTAGTATGTGAAAATTTGATACAAGATTACCTAGGTCAAGTTGATTTCAGCCATGTATCATTTTAGGTTTTTTTTTTTTTTTTTATACTGGAGATCGAACTCAGGTCCTTGTGCTTGTGAGGCAGGCAGCGGAACCACTGAGCTAAATCCCTGGCCTGTCATTTCAGATTTTATAGCCCACGAGTATAATTCCTGAGGTTATTACCCATCTTTAGGAAATAAGAAAACTGGCCAGGAAAATCTTAGGAAATGAGAAGTAAGTAGCTATAGACATTCTAAAAAAATAATGTGTATTCTATCTCATTCACAAAACTTTAGTAATTATAGTGCAGAAGGCAAAATAAGGACAGTTGAAAGAAGGCATTTTTCCTAATATCATTCAGTATTTACCCCTTCTTTCTTTTGTTCTTCACTTTTAAGAGAGCAGGATTGGATTTTTCATGTTGCTAGAGTTTCCTTGACCTCAAAATTAGAGCCACATTTGATTCCTTACAGTCTGCTGGTACCATTGTAGGGAAAGTCTGCAGTTGCACATACAAATAAGCGAACAGTGACTGCAGTAAAGCAATCAAAAGGAGCAAGCAGCTTGTCCATATAGCAGCTCTCAGCTTTCTAGAGTTTGGCAGTCATTGGTAGGCAGCTGCTGTGGTGGGTCAGTCTGTCCCTCAGCAAATGTTACAGGAGTGGAACCTTCAAAATGCTCCAGAAGGGAAGAAAACATGGCTGGCTGGAATGATCAGATAGGGTGAGTAGATCCTGAAGGGATGTGGGTAAGTGGAGAAATTGAGGATTATCATTCTGGGAAGAGGGAACAAGTCCTTAGGAGTCAGGGTGAAGCATCTGCACCATGATGAAGAGTGAGTTTGAGTGTGATCATGAAAGATGCAGGTTAAGGAGGTTGAGTGTGTCTTCAGCAGCAAACCATTGGTATTTTGTGTGTGTACCCACACACACACACAGCAGTAATAAAAATCAGTGTTTCTAGGAAATTAATCTGTTGATAACAGGTAGATTTAGATCAGTCTTTTTTTTCTTTTAATAGCAAAGTCAAGTACCATAGGCCCCATCATTAATTTAAATACAATCTGACTATTAATTTCCATAAAGGTCCAGAAGCTGACTCTTATACCCTAGAAGAGCCTTTCTTAGTATTTAGTAAGGAACTAAAGCTTAGGAAGTTTAAAGCTATCAACCGAAAGTAATAGGTCGTAACATAATTTTATGTAAAGCCTTATTAATAAATTCTTTGCAACATATACTTGGAAAGTAATGAAAACATGACACAAAATTGCTTTCACCTTGGTATGATGTTGGGAAATTTATTTTAAGTACTTCAAAAGTTTATTTTGGTTTCCATGCTGAATTCAATTACTTTTGGATACAGATTCCAAAGAATATAAACATTACAATATCCCTTTGGAATTTCTGTGGAGCAACTCCCAGAAAATGTCTGCTGTAGATAGAATCTTTAATCTGTAGTATCTGTGACTCAGGATATACAAAATCACAGATTATTAAAAAATACACTTCATATTTTAACTCTGATTGTTCCTGTTTTATATCTTGTGTGTGTGTATCCACCCACTTGAAGATTAAAGACATTATTCATTTTTTACTCGGATAAATAGATTTAAACTTTCTTCCCCTACAGGCAAAGTTTTTTAAGCTTCAGAATGTGCTGAGGCCTGTTTTAAAGAGAGTATCAGATAACAGCTTGACACTGGAAATAATGTAGTGTGGTGAATATGTGATCTGCTAAATACGGGAAGAGCATCATGTCAGCTTTCGGAAAGCTTTGGATTTCAGAGCATTTTGGATTACGGATTTTCCAATTAGGCATGTTCAAATCTGTGCAAGATATTCCATAGTGAGAAACACTGAAATCTAAAACACTTTGGTCCCGAGCATTTCACGTAAGGGGATAGTCAACCTGTGTCTAATTTGGAATAGGTTAAGTCTAAGTTAATGAAAACTAAAGTTCTGAATTATTTTTATCTGATCTTATTTTGAAGTTTGCAACATTGAAAACTTCCTGTAATATGTTCTGTCAAATGGAGCAAATTAGTAAAATCACAAATTATCTGCATTCTGTTCCCCGTCACTAAAATTTTTTTAACATGTTAAAATTGTTAGTACAATGGAAGTCTTAAGATTTCTGAAGCTGTTCCTATTACAGAGTTACTGGTTCTTGACTTAGTTTAATGCAGCTTAATGACCGAGGTCTTAACCTTTCTTAGAGAGTGGTATGAAAAGGCACAATGACATGTTTTCAGGTTTTACACTGACTTTTAAAAGTGCCAGTAGAAGGTGGATTATGAAGCTGGCTGATGTATTATGAGGGAAGCAAGCCTACCAATAGTTTAATAAAACTTTCTATGGAGAACTTTGAACACAAGCAAAAGTAAACTAAAGAGTGTAATGAACTTGCATGAATCTAGTATCTATTTTTACAGTTAACTCATGGTAAATTGTCTTTAATTAATAACTACATTAACTTACCACTTTTATTTTAAGCAAATTGCAGTCATTTGCCCGTTTTGTATATCAGTATCTCTAAAGGATGAAAACTTTGGTTCTAATGATAAGTACAAAGCCATTGTCATACCTAAATGAAAGCTAATTTTTAATAGCATCAAATTACTGTCCACGTGTCCAGTTGTTTTGTGAATATCACAGTTTCTTTTCCCTAAGTGCATTTGGATTGGGGTCCAGTCACAGCCACGTGGTGTGACTGATTGGTTTGTTTCTTAAGTACTTTGCTCAAGGTTTCTTCATGTCTTTTTTCTTCTCCCTTAGTTTATTGAAGATACCGGGTTGTTTGTTGACAGAGTTTGCCACAACATAGATTGTGCTATTTATGTCAGCATATAAATCATACCTGGAGGTGCTCAATATTATTTACTTATAATAACTTCTATTGATTTTAGAAACCTGATCAGTTTCTGTTCAAACACAGCTTTGATTCCATTTGCCTTTATTCCTCTAGGATTCCAGCTACATTTGGTAGAACTTTTTGCTTAATTCCCTATGTCTCTTACATGCTTTCCTGTTCTTTTCTACCCTCTCGTCTCCATTCTAGTTGCTTCTTTCTGATCTACAGTATAGTTTAACAGTTTTCTAAGTGTTCAATTGTGTCTAGTTTTTAAAATCCATTTACTGAATTCTCTATTTGAGTAGTTTTAATTTTCAGTTCTAGAATTTCCATTTGGTACTTTTTTACATTTCTCCCCCAATTTTCTGTCAAAATCTTAAGGTTTTTAAAATTTCCTTTTATTACACGTAGTTATTTGAAAGCCTGTGCTCACAGCTAAATCATCTAGTTCCCCTGTGGACCTGTTTATATTTTTTATCATACTTGTCCTCTCCTAGTATACCTGCTAGTGGTGTTGGTGATTATTTTGTGGTTTATTATTTGTTGTTGTTGTTTTTGGTATCGGGGATTGAACTTGGGACCTTGCGCTTTCGAGGCAGGCAGCCGTACCACTGAGCTATATCCCCAGCCCTATTTTGTCTTTTGACCTTGTAAAAAATAGGAATTACTTTGAGGGAGGCTGGTGTTATTTTTTATTCAGAAAGGGTTTATTTGTACTTCCGGAAGGTATGTATGGGGGAATTTGATACTGGGTCACTATTCCAGGAAGGCTTTGAGATTCTGAATTTGGATTCAGTCCCTGACTGTAGCCTGTCTTTACTCCCAGACCGAAGTAGTGTGGTGCTGAAGGTCTCCAACCGAAGCCCCTCCCTGGTAGACTGAGCTTGTGTCTGCTGTCTTTGCATTTCCTTTGAAAGCTCTGCTCAGCTCTGAACTACCCCACCAGCAGATGTCCCTGGGACGAGAGCAGCCCCGGAGGCTGGGCTCACCTCTGCAGTATTTGCTTATGTCTCTGCAGTCCTGTAACTTTTTACTGCTTTCCCAGTATTCTGATGCTTTCACGTGGCTGATTTTGTTTTGCCCAGTTTTTCTAGTTGTTTTCAGTGAGAGCTGCTGAATATTGCCTGGTCTGCTATTACTACAAACCACTGAGTTCTTTTAGATCCCAGTTTCTGATCCCCGTACACTTTTGTATCCTTATGGAGATACGTATCATTCTATTAGTTTGTTTCCTTGTAAGGAGCTTTCAGAGGATGCCTGGCTTGCCACCGCCTCTGCAGTTGGGCTGAGGAGCACAGTGCCAACATCTGCCTGGCGTTAATGCCTTGTTCACCACCGAGGAAAGCAGCGTACTGAGAATGTTATTCTATGCTGTGCTCCAGGAGTGAGAAATTGCCAGCATTTATTTCTGGTCTGTGATTTCCTCACAGGATTTTGTACATGTCAATTCAAAGCTTAATTTATGCCATGTGTGAATGTATGTACGAATTTCCAAATAAGAATGGGAAAAATATCTTCTTTTCCCAACCATATTGAGACACCTTAAACAACTAGGAAATACAATACTTCTTCCAGTTTTCCAAAATATTTATCTGGGCTGAGACCAAGAATGAAGCATTTTAGGCCAAAGTGCCTTTTGAAAACACTATGATTTATAAGTAAGCTTAGAAAATCTCCTTTGTACTTTGAACATATGTTATTATTGGGTTATTTTCTTCATCAAAATGGCGCATTTTTTACTGAGATGAAATAACTTAGGTGTTTGTATATTAGAGTCATTTATT